TCAATGAACGCTTTATACTGGATTAAAAAAGCAAGATAACTGGGCCACTTTGGTTGCTAACAGAGTCAATGAAATTCGAAAACTTACGGATCCGGAGGCTTGGCGACATATTCAAGGAAAGTATAATCCCGCAGATTTGCCCTCGCGGGGATGCAATTCTAAAGATTTATTGAAATCCCATTGGTGAGAGGGCCCCCAATGGTTTAAACTGCCATTCGAGAATTGGCCAGCTAGTGAACTTTCTCCGGATATTGAAGTAGTTCTTTCAGAAAGAAAACGAACTATATCCTCAGCCACAAATTTAACAACTAATACCCTTGAAATCTTCCAAAATGTGTCTTCCTTCAATAAAATTGTGAGAATCATGGCTTACGTCATCCGATTTTATAAAAATACTCTAAGAAATCATAGTGATAGAAAGAAGGGAAAATTGGAGATAGAAGAGATCGAAGCATCTGAGAAGTTCGTTTTGAAAGAAATTCAAAGAGAATCTTTTAAAGGAAAGATAAATTTTCGAACTGTGAAAGACAGCGATGGTCTCTTACGAGTTGAGACAAGAATAACATCGAGAAAAGACTTAGAAACTTTTAGATTCCCTATATTATTGCCTAGCAAGCATGATTTGGAGGAAAAATTAATAATGGACAAACATGTTGAACTGAAACATGCCGGTGTTCAAACTTTGATGTCTCACCTCAGAGAGTCGTTTTGGATCATTAAAACCAGAAAGACAATTCGAAGCGTCGTAAGAAATTGCGTCAAGTGCAAAAGATTCTCGGTTAAACCATTGGAAGCCGTAAGCATTCCACTTCCAGAAGATCGAGTCAGAGACGCAACTATTTTTGAAATTATAGGTGTCGACCTGTGCGGGCCTCTGCTTTTAAAAGGAGATAGAAAATGCTGGGTGGTACTCTTCACTTGTGCCATCTACCGAGCGGTGCACCTCGAAGCAGTATCGTCCCTGTCAACAGATTGCTTCATCTTGGCCCTTCGCCGATTTATTGCTCGCAGAGGACACCCGTCCACTGTATACTCTGACAATGGGACAAATCTTGTGGGAACGGCAAATCTTTTGAAGAACATTAATTGGAACGAAATTGAAGACTTTGCTTCAAGGAAACGAATTTCATGGAAATTTAATCCTCCCTCTGCCCCTTGGTGGGGAGGCTTCTTCGAAAGATTAATAGGAGTTTTGAAAGGCATCCTGAGAAAGGTTCTAGGACGAGCTTGTTTGAATGAAGAAGAGTTAGCTACAGTATTATGCGACGCTGAAAGTTTAATTAACTCCCGTCCTATAACGTATCTTTCAGAAGATCCCAAAGATCTGTCAGCGCTCACACCACCCATGTTTCTTCAGGAAATTAAAGAAATTGGTGTTCCTGAACTTGACCTAATTGATTCAAAAAATTGAACAAAAGATATTCTTATCGGTTAAAATTGCGACAAACCCCAATCTGGAAAACTATTAAGACCTATACAAAGACTTTTTCCGCTGGAAGTGTAACCATTTTGCTAATAATTTTATTTGTTTAGTTTTTTCAGATGGACCATATAGACTAAGAATTCTGTTTGGATTCGAAAAGATTTTCTTCGAATCCAAAGGTGGGAGATTTCCGAGAATTCCCACTATAACTGTCTTCTGCGCATGTTGTTTTGGTGCGCCCACAGCGCCACCAGTTGATGTTAATATCTCGATCTGAGAACAAGCATGTTTAGCTCCGTAAATAATTGAACTTTAATTGTTAATCCTTTTTTTGTTTGTGTTTTCTAATTCCGTTATTATTAAAGTGATTGTCTATAAACATGTTAGAGTCTTTTATGACTGAGCAAATTGATATTTATTACCCTCCAAAATGTGGCAGTCCTGGAGAACGGGGTAAGTAGCACTTACCTTAATTAATATAGAAATAGTTTTCTTCAGTTTTTGCTTAAAAATTGACAGGCTGCAAAAAAATTAGAAACGAAGAAGGAAATTAGAAACCATTTTACAAAATTGAACTAAAAAGTTAATATGAAAGAACACAACTTTATATTTCTTGTCTTGTGGTCTTGTTTTGTCACAACATTTGAGGCTGCCTCTGTAATATATGAACTTTTTAAACTTGTACATTTCAATAATAGTAGATTTAAATGTATTTTGAAAAAATCTGTAGCCTTAGGAGCAAAACTGATTTCAGTCCCCACACCTGAATTAGACAAGATTAAGTTGGATAAATGCAACAAACAATTTGTTTTCCTTTGTTATTTATTCATTGATGTAAAAACTTCGAGATCTTCATTTCATAAGCACATGTTTGATTCGATGTCAAAAGTAACGACAAAATTTTAATAAGCAAAATAACAAAAAAATATAATCTAGAGAGAGATGCCAGATATATATATATATTTTAATGCTTACATCGAAATTTTTAACGATGTAAAAAATCTCACAAAGTAGTTTCCGAAATTGAATTGTCATGGTGATATAAGTTTTTAGATATAGATAAGGTGAAAAACTAATTCATGTATTCTTCTTTATTATATCACGCAATCTAATTTTTAAGTTTTTTTCCGCATACAATTGATTATTTTTCAAATCCAGATAATCGTTTATTTCATTACGCACATAGTACCAAAAAGTACATTCATACATTGTAACAAAAAGTTCTTAGCTAAAATTATAACAATTATGCATTTAATAAACAAAAATATTTTCCCCCCGAAAAACATTAACTTGAGAATGAATAAGAAGCAAACTGGGGGGGGGGGGGNNNGGGGGGGGGGGGGAGCGATGCAACCGAGTATACTGAAAATTGGAAAAATATATCCATTTTAAAAAAAAGCTGAAATGGAATTTCTTAAATCGTAATTTTTGCTGATTTTGCGAAAAAAAATTCCGTTTTTTTTTCTTCTCATACATAGGATAACTGATGCAATTTGCGTAAGTCATTTAGTCGCTATTCTTAAATGATATTTGCTTGATGCAACATTTAGGTAGGAAATTCTGTTGTGATTCAACTTTATTAGAAATTTAGTTGCTAGGTATTCTACTAAAATAAAATTTCCTATGAAACTTTACTAACACCAAAAAAAATTACATTTCACAACGTAAAACTACTTATTAGATGTTAACTCGGCCGTATATAAATTTCATGTGAATGTAGGCTATCATGTCTTGGATAAACTAACAGCGCTTTCAAATTTCGCCTAAAAGAGCATAAAAATACAGGGTGTTTATAAAGTCCCGGACCCATTCTGATGTTTAATAACTCATAAAATAATAAAGATAGATTAAAATTAATAACATAAATGGTTAGATGGACTCAAAAAGTTTCATGACCTTTGTCAATGAACTTCCACGTGTGCCCCCTTCGTCGCACGGAGAATATCAAGTCGATAGTCAATTTCACGCCAGGTAGCGGCAAGCATGTTGGCATCCACAAAGGCTATTGCGGTTGTAATTCTGGCTTGTAGCTCATCAATGTTCGACACGATCCTCCTGTAAGCATTGTCCTTTATAAATCTCCAAAGAAAAAAGTCCAGTCGCGTTATATCAGGTGATCTGGGTGGCCAAGGAATCGGACCTCCTCGCCCAATCCATCTTCCTGGAAAATGGGCATTCGAGAACTACGAACGATGACACCCCAATGAGGTAGTGCACCATCTTGTTGCAAAAAGACATGTGGCTGAAGCTCTTCTGGTTGTGGAAATACGAAGTTTTCCAACATGTCTAAGTATACGACTGGTGAGACCGTCTTTTCTGTAAAAAAGAAAGGCCCAATGACTCAGTCGTGTATTAGTCCACACTACACATTAACCTTTGGAGAATTCCTTTGTGTCTCACAGTATTCATGGGGACTTTCAGATCGCCATATGCGCACATTATGGCGATTAACAATGCCAGAAACATGAAAAGATGTTTCGTCGAAGAACATTATGCGCTTCAGAAAATCAGCATCATCTTCTATCCTTCCTACTATATCTGTTGCAAACGCCATCCTCCTAGGCCAATCGTCCGGTTCCAAACCTTGAACTTTGTATGCATGCAGTCTTAATTGTTTCTTAATTACCTTGCACACCGTCGAAATTGGCAAATCCTATTCTCTCGCCTCTAATCTCACAGATCTTCTAGGATTGTCTAAAAATGTCCGTCTGACAACCTCAACGTCAAAATCACTTGTGCAGGGACGTCCGGCTCAAGGGTCATGAAACTTTTTGAGTCTATCTAACCATTTATGTTATTAATTTTAATCTATCTTCATTATTTTAAGAATTATTAAACATCAAAATGGGTCCGGGACTTTATAACCCCCTGTATATCGGATTCAATCCATTATCTTTCATGAAGTTCAGCTGGATTGATGATTGTAAGCTCTTCATCCAATATATTTTCTATACCGACCTGGATTTCTGAAAAACTTATCATATCATAAAAAAACCATAAAAAATATGTATAGCAAATTCTGCACATTTTTTTAAATCCAATAATCGCAAAGCATTTACTTTTTAAATTATTTTTTATAACTTCTAATTTAAGTCTTTCATATTTCTTAAGTTTTAACTTTTCTAACATGTTGGGTGCTACACCAGTCACCGGTGATTGGAAGTGCATAACATAATATAAAACTAAAATTTCGCATTGTTTAAAACCATTAAGTGAAAAATGTATCTAAATCTTACCATAACTTTGTTACAAACTCTATTTTTATTTATTTCAATGGGTACACTTTGCATTGCTATACCACGTTAGGAGGTCAGACGAGGATTTTCTCAAGAATACGCATGACACTTAATTGTATGATTTTCTCATCAGTTGTCACAAACTGTCGGTTTGTATCATCTTTGTTCTTATTATTCAGCTTATTTATAAATATTATTGTTTTAAAATTGCTTTAATTTGAGATATGCAACTTCGAATGATTTCAACTGATTACGTATGATACTGATTATATATATATAT